CAGAGGGAATCCTTTTGAGATATTGTCCAGGTTAGTGTAGGGGACAGCGTTGGGTTAATGCTGTTTTAGGGTTAGGTATAATGTATGGCTAAGGGGTAAGTTTAGGTATATGGTCAGAGTAAATATAATCATAGGTCTGAAGAGGTATGGTATCGGGTTAACGTTAACTACAGAAATAAATATTTATAGGCATTTGGCAATCAAGACCAATAAGTAAATCTTTTACTTATTTTTTTTGATGTATAAACGTTTATTATAAGCAAAAATTATTATTTCTATGAATTATTTTTGGTCTTTTTTTTTGTTTATATTTTTAACATTTTATTCACACTTAAGTGTGTTATATATAATTCTAAAAGAAAACCATTTGTCATTTAAAAAAAAAAAAACAATATATAATATGTATGGGGGCACTTAAAGAGAAACCCTTAAATTACAGTGCATCAAACACTTTGCTCAAATTGTAGGTTTTATTTTGGTTCCAAAGTTAGACAATTGCCTCTGTCTTTAAGGGGTTAAAGATTAGTGATGCAGTTTATTTTATTTATTCATTTTTGGCAGATGACAACTTTGGTTTTCTCAGTATTTTTTATTTTGTTTGCTTACAAGTAAAAACTGTCATGTCTTATTTTGTCATAGCCCAGACCTGCGGCTAGATTTCTAGTTGTTAGCAGTCAATCAAGGTTCATGTTCTGTTGTTTTGGTTTGCTTTTTCTTCACTCCCACCCACCGTTTTCTTTTAGACGACATTATTTCCTCTCCATTCTTCACTCTTATTTTTATTTCTCCCATATACAGTTTCACTGTAGGCCATCGCCCAGCTGTGTGCCCAGCTGTGTGCCCAGCTTAGTCATAGAGTTTACACATTATCACATCTATATTTCTCTCAATATGTTTCACGCTAACAAAAACTGAGAGTGTTCACATTGCTATTTACAGAAGGAAAATAAATGTATTTATTTTTTAATACTGTAAAACTACATTTTTTTTTTTTTTTATCTGGAATATTTTAATACAGTTATTGTTACAGAGTTTGACAACCCAATTTCACATTGTAATTACATTTGAAATCTGTTCTGGTGTTTTTCAATTCTTTTTAAAATAAATCTGTATTGACATTGTGTTAATATATATTATTATTTTTTTATTTTTTTTTTATTTTTTATTTTTTTTTATTAAATAGATATGCAACGGCTTTGGGACAAATCATAAATATTGAAAAATTTTGGGGAAGCAGGACTTTAAAGGGTCTAGAAGAAATCATATTTTGCCAGAACGAGATCTCCAGTAACTTGACGTGGGAAGCTTATTGGGAGAGGAACGATCCCCTCAGAGACGTTGATGAAGTCGCCATACCCGTCCTTTGTATTTGTAGCAAAGATGACCCTATACGTGGAGACCCCAATAATACTTTACCATTTGAGCTATTTGAGACGAACCCCCATTTCTTTTTGTTGCTCACCCACCATGGTGGCCACTGTGGTTTTATTAAAGAAGACATGTCCAACACCATGTGGAGTCATAGTGCTCTTTTGGATTTCTTTAAGTCTACTGTGGACTTCTTTCTAATGGAAGAAAAAATGAAAGGCCTGTCCAGGAGAAAAAGAAAAGTCTCCATCTCAATGAAGAGAACCGTACAAGACCAAACTTGCAGAAATGAGCAAAGCTGTCCCCATAATATTCATGAAATTTATAATTGGCAAAGATCGTACACA